AGTCTTAAATTTGGTTAAGAGGTTTTGAATACAAACAGACAACTACATGTATCTTAGACATGTTCTAAGTCCAAGATTCAATAATCTATTCCTAGGCAGGATGAAGAAGAGAGTGACCACATTATAGCCCTGTGAGAAAACTGAATTCAACTAAATGATTTTTTGGAAAGCTCAAGTCAAGGAAACCCAATACAAAATACAAAAAATGCACCTTGATTTATTCAGCACTTTCCAAGTACCTACTAAATATCATTCAGTGTTAGAATTGAAGATATAAAGATGAGTAAACCTAATAAAACTTGTTCTTTTATACTAGAATGTAAGCTCCATGAGAACATACATTTTGATCTGTTTTATTCATGTATCATCTGTAATGTTTAGGCCAGTATCTAGCATTTAATAGGTGCTAAATAAAAATAGCTGAATGAATGGGTTCTCCTAAAAAGCTTAGAGTCTGAAGCCAAGATAGATATGAAATAGGGACAAAAGCATGTGATAGATGCTATCACAGATTACCCCCTTTTTCTCCTTCCTAAAACCCTTTTATCAGTCTTTTTTTTTTTTTTTTAAGATTTATTTATTTGACAGAGACACAGCGAGAGAGGGAACACAAGCAGGGGGAGTGGGAGAGGGAGAAGCAGGCTTCCCGCCGAGCAGGGAGCCCAATGCGGGACTCGATCCCAGGATCCTGGGACCATGACCTGAGCCGAAGGCAGATGCTTGACTGAGCCACCCAGGCGCCCCTACCTTTTTTTCAGTCTTAAGTAGTATAATCTCTTTGTGAGTATTCTGATGGTCCTGGGGTTCAGTGTGTGCACAATTAAACTTTAGCAGCCACCACTTCAGGGCTGGCTTCCGGACCCCATTTCCCAGCTGGTTATGTCAGAATCTTACCTCAGGCATGGGTAGTATTCCAGATGAGTTACTTGTGATGCCTGTAAGAGTTAGGTTTGTTCTAGTCCTCATAGTACCATTCTTTTACACAAATTATTGCTATTCAGTTGACCCTTGGACAAGATGGGGCTAATAGGTAATAGGTGCCTGCCCTCCCCCCTGCAGTTGAAAATCCTGTAATTTCTGAATTTTTAGTATATGTGCTGCCGAAGCGAGCACTAATTTCTGAATTTTTGACTCCCCCAAAACTTAACTATTAGTAATAGCCTACTGTTGACCAGAAGCCTTACCTATAACATAAACAGTCGATAAACTCATATTTTATATGTATTATATGCTGCATTCTTATAATAAAATAGCCTGGAGGAAAGAAAAAGTTAAAATCATAAGAGAAAGTACATTTACAGTCCTGTATGGATATTTATTTAAAAAATTCCTCCAGGGCGCCTGGGTGGCTCAGTCGTTAAGCGTCTGCCTTCGGCTCAGGTCATGATCCCAGGGTCCTGGGATCGAGTCCCACATCGGGCTCCCTGCTCGGCAGGAAGCCTGCTTCTCTCTCTCCCACTCCCCCTGCTTGTGTTCCTGCTCTCGCTATCTCTCTATCAAATAAATAAATAAATAAAATCTTAAAAAAAATAAAAAAATAAATAATAAAAAATTCCTCCAGGAGGGGCTGGGACGGGCTGGTGGCGGTGGGGCTGGCTCTGGGGTGATGATGTTCCACAGCCTGGTGGTCTCTGCTCAGCGGTGGCAGCGGCTGGGTGGCCCGTGGGTGCTGACGGTGGTGGCCTGGAGGTTCAGTACCACTGACCCACCTGCCTGGAGGTATGCCGCCGGCTGTAACCATCAGCAGCTTCGGGGGGGCGGGTCAGCACTGGGCCAGGAGGGACTCAGGGCAGCACGGAGGACCTTCTGGGCATATTCTTGTGCTTCAGCCCAGCCTCCTGCCTGCCAGCCCTGGGCACTCAAACCGACCACCCTGTTGGCACAATGGGCCACCTGTAGCCCTGTCTGGTACCAGGGCTTCCCCAGGGCTGCTGACGGCTGGCTCCCTGCAGGCCTCCCCTCCCTGCGTTCTCAGAGGGCAGCAAGTGTGACTTCTGCACCAGTCACGTTTGATTCTCCTGTGGAGACTGGGCTGGGCAGTTGTAAATAAATACCATGTGGCTTTTGCGATCAGCCCTTAAAAACCCACCTGTAAGTGGACCTGTGTAGTTCAAACCCGTATTGTTCAAGGGTCGTCTGTATTTTAAAGTGGGATCTGGGCTTGTGGGGATGGGTAAATGAGGCAGTGTAGAATATTTGTAAGTTTAAGACTTGTTTAAGAATAATAGTAATAAAAAAGACTTGTTTAAGAATAGAAGGAGATTTCTGAGGTATAGGACTCTCAGTGTGGGCCGCCTCAGCTCGGGCCCAGCTGTGGTGAGTCCTCAGAGCTTCACTTGCTTGTAGTGGTCCTCTGTTGTTTAATCTTCCTGGGACATACTGTCTTCCAGGATTGGCACAGGCAGCTGCCTGTGAAACTTATCCAGGGTAATTGGGCAGGAGAGGGTCTGGCTGAGCCTTCATTAAGGAGTATAGAGCATTCACCTCTTTGCTGCAGAGTAGAGGGATTAAAAGAGGTGATTATTTCCATTATCTGGGGCTGTATTACCTTAGCTTCTTTTAGGTTGTAAGAAGCACATTGGCTTAGTTCACTCTAGAGGTTTATTACGTAAAGAATGTGTCATAGTTAGCCTTCATGAAATTTCAACATTGTTGCAGACACTAGAGTAACTTCCCTGTTATCCTCTTTGTCCTCCAGTTCACTTGTTACCAACTCTAGTGATTCCACCATTTTGATAAGTCAGCTAATCCCTCCTTCTACTCTTCTTCCACTCTGTTTTTCTGGTGACTATGAACTCTCTAATGCATTCTTAATTTCTCTTAACATCTTACTTCTTAAAGGAAAGGGGCAGATTGCGTTGTCTAGTTGTTTATTATTCAGTTGGGTGAAATTCTCATGAGTTACCTCAAAGGCCCCTTAGATGGCCTCTAGGTTGGAAGCTGATTCCTGGTCATAGTCATTTGTAACCAGAGTTTCAGTGTTTCATCATCCAAATTATAGTGATTGCACTGAAAGAACTGTCTGTGATCATTTCCTTAGAAGGAACCTGTGTGGCCTTGGTAGATATTCAAAGCATCGTTTATTACTCTTTATCAGTGGGTCACTGGGAGCTTTCAGATTGAAGGAGAAGTAGAAAATGCTGCACATACATGGGATGTGTTTCTTGTTCCTAAAAGGAGTAGCCCATGGTTAATCAAAACAAAATAAGATTATCTTTACTTGTCCTGGTTCTATAACCTTTTGTAGAAGTCAGTGTTCTAGAAATTAATAACAACTCAAGTATATGTATTATACTTCTGATTTTCATCCCTCTTAGTAAATTTTTTATGGCTTTTGCTATAATTAATGAAGTCTTACTAAATAAGAAAGGATCAAAATGTATACTTGGAATGTACACATGTAACTGAACCATTAAATAAGATTTATAAAGGGGAAAGACTGGATTGTTGTGACCTGCATCCCACCTAATGTACAAGGAGTTAGAAAGCCATTTAGAGTACATGTCTTTCTGCACATTGTCTTTAGCTGGGATAGTAAGCTAAGATCCAGAGACCTTAATGAGGGTTTTGTATGAAGGCCCTCTTTGGGGAATGCATATTTTCCTAGAAGCCAGGTAGCTGAAGAATGAGATTTTATGGGTGGTCAGTGTATCTACTTGATCTCCAAGGAAATAGGTAAGACGTTTGAGACCATGATAAACTGGTTTTAATGTTTGTTCAAGCACATGGATAGTCAGATGCTAGTTTTGAAAGGGATTACTATGCAATTGGCATATCTTGATTTCTTCAGTAGCTTCATGAAAATTATGTTATTATTTTCTCATTTTACCAAAAACTAGTGAAAACTTTTTTTTAAAGATTTTATTTATTTATTTTAGAGAGCATGCGCATGAGCCAGCACAGGGAGGAGCAGAGGGAGGGAGACAAGCAGATTCCTGCTGAATGGGTAGCCCCACATGGGCCTTGATCCCAGGACCCTGAGATCATGACCTGAGCCAAAATCAAGAGTTGGATGCTTAACAGACTGAGCCACCCAGGAGCCCCAAGTGAAAACTTTTTTTTTTTAATTTTATTTTATTATGTTAATCACCATACATTACATCATTAGTTTTTGATGTAATGTTCCATGATTCATTGTTTGCATATAACACCCAGTGCTCCATTCAGTACATGCCCTCCTTAATACCCATCACTGGGCTAACCCATCCCCCCACCCTCCTCCCCTCTAGAACCCTCAGTTTGTTTCTCAGAGTTCATAGTCTCTCATGGTTTGTCTCCCCCTCCGATTTTCCCCCCTTCATTTTTCCCTTCCTACTATCTTCTTTGTTTTTTTCTTTTAACATATAATGTATTATTTGTTTCAGAGGTACAGGTCTGTGATTCAGCAGTCTTACACAATTCACAGCGCTCACCATAGCACATACATTGGGGAGGGTATGTCCTAATGAAAACTTTTTAATGAATGAGAATCACTGGGTTACATGGTTAATATAGCGAGGTGGTCTCTTAGCTGGTTGATATCTATACCAGAGAATGTTGTGCCATCCTGAAGGGGAAGGTACCAGGCCATGAGTCTGGGCCATATCAAATCCACCAAGAGTGCCATTGCTGGGGTGGAAGCCTAGAGGAGAGGAGAGATGCAGGAGGCAGAAATGACAAGGCCCAGGTGGGTCTGGATGAAAGATGTTGACAGGATTAAGAATGGCTCTGAGCAAGAAGGAAATTCTTAGAGCTTTAGCTCCAGGGCAGTTATGTTCTGGAACTAAATTCTCAGAACTCTTCCACTCAGTTCATTCCAGTGAGGTCAGGCTAAGAAAGAAAACGATCAACCTGCTGTATCTAAGAGACTTTGTTTTGGAATATATTTTTCTATCAACCACTAACCTAGTGGTTAGTGATTGTAGCCTACATAGAAGGGAAAAATCTGAACTTGGTTGGAGGGTTCTCTGCCATTTTAGAGTTACATTGTCTCTGATTTTACTTTATTTTTTTTCCTTCAGGTTGCTTGATTGGGGCCGTGAATCTCAAATCCAGCAACCGAACCCCAGTAGTACAGGAATTTGAAAGTAAGTACAAGGGAGACTACTAAGAGAATGGGCTCCATCTAATGGACGTTTGGTAGTCTTGCAGACAACTCAGGACAGACAAACACAGGCTCACAGTGCCCTAGAGACGTCCGGGTGGGTGGCTCCTTAGCAGTGCATTTGATGTGCACGTGTGTCAGGAAGTACTCCTTCAGCAGGCCAACAGGGAACTCTGCAGGTTTTATATTGGCGAGAATCAGATTCCGCCCTGGCTTTGTATGTATATAACAAAGAATTTTCTTACATACAAGCACAGTATTAAGGGGGAGTGTGTACTCTATTTAGTAAAAGTTCTTGGTAATCGTCTTTATTATTTTTCTGGCTAAAATTCAGCTTTTCTTGAAGTCATTGGAGCCTGGAGATAGATTTTTTTAACCTGCATGCAAGACTTCTTTAAAATTAGAGATAGCTTGCAGTGTCCAGGTATATAAGTGATCATAAAATTGTTCCCCATTCTCTGAGAGGTTTTTTTTGTTTTTGTTTTTGTTTTTTGCTCATTAGGTGTGGAACTATCTTGTATCATTACGGATTCACAGACAAGTGACCCCAGGATTGAATGGAAGAAAATTCAAGATGACCAAACCACATATGTGTTTTTTGACAACAGAATTCAGGGTATGATCCTCTAATCCCCTCCTTTGTCCACAAGGCCCAGGCATATACTTGTGCCCAGAGACTTTCCTCTGACTGGTCCTGCATCTGCATCCAGGATTGGTTTTTTTTGTTTTGTTTGTTTTACTTACGGGAAATTCAAATATGGAAAGGTAATGAGAATAATATATTGAACCTCCCTGTCCCTGTCATTCAGCTTCAACAAGTATCACCTCATTAGTTATGATTTAAATCTATCTGTAGCCCATCCTGTTGAGTTATCAGAGTGAACATTTTCCTAGGCCATCCTCTTATCATGGTCCCATTCGTGATACCAGCTGCATGAGTTAATCAGAAGGATCACATGGAACAGCAAGGAGACAAGACAGGTATTTACTGAGCAACTACTGTGTGCCAAGCTTCCCACACTGAGAAAGCATTTGCTAGAACAGACGTCAGCATAGGGTATCTCTGATCACATGAAGTAGGAGCAGGGCAGGTGGTGGGGGAGGCTTCCCAGAAGCAACATCTAGGCTGAGCTATGAAGCCGGTCGACCAGGCCAGATGGTGAGGGGTGGGGTGGAGGAAGGTGTTGGGCAAGAAAGAATGCTCTGCATATATAGATGTGGAAGCAAAAGGCAGGTTTGCTTAAGGAAACTTCAAGATCTCTATTACAGCTGGGACTTAAGGAGGGAAGAGAGGAGTGACTCCACATGGCTGTTGAGGCTTGCCAGGGCCAGCAAGAAGCACTGAATGCCATGTAAGAATGGACAGTATCTTGAGGTCTGCAAAGATTTTTTAGAGGGAAGGAAGATGATTTCATTTACACTTTAGAAAGACTTGACTTGGTTTGTAAAGGAGATTGGGGATGGGGAAACTCAGAGCAGTGGTGCTAATTTAGAATTTTTTTGCAGATGCTAGAAGGGAGCTGCTGATGGCCCGAGCTAAGGTTGAGGCAGTGTAGAAAGACATGGGGAGGGATTGCTAGGAGCTGGCTATGGCAAGGGAGGGAGAGAGAGAAATTATAGATGACATGCAGTGGGACCTTACCTTCACTCTGACGGGAGGGACGGGGTAAACATGAGGGACAAATGCAACAACTTCTGAGGGCTGGCTTTGGAGTTCTCAGAGAAGTTGATAGTTGAGGCTTCAGAGAAGAGGAGAGATGTTGTGGAAACGGCCAAATCTCAGTCTTCCTGCTTTGGGTCCCCAATATCACCAGGAGTCATAGGCTCTTAAAAATCACATTTTTGGGGGACACCTGGGGGCTCAGGCAGTTAAGCATCTGCCTTCAGCTCAGGTCATGATCCCAGGGTCCTGGCATGGAGCCCCACGTCAGTCTCCCTGCTCACAGGGAGCCTGCTTCTCCCTCTTCTACCTGTTCATGCTCTCACTATCTCTCTCTCTCTCAAATAAACAAATAACATCTTAAAAAAAAAATGTTTTTGCAAATGTTCATCTTTCGTCATCAGCATTTTTCTGTTTTTATTATATTATGGTAAATCCTTTCTGTTCTTGCCACCAGTCAGCAGGTTTAGTAATAATTATTTTCTATTTTTGTGTCATTTTTTTTCTAACTCCTTCCTTTATTTGTCATTCTTTTTTTTTTTTTTAAGATTTTATTTATTTATTTGACAGAGAGAGAGAGCACAAGCAGGGGGAGTGGCAGGCAGAGGAAGAGGGAGAAGCAGGCTCCCTGCTGAGCAGAGAACCCAATGTGGGGCTCCATCCCAGGACCCTGGGATCATGACCTGAGCTGAAGGCAAATGCTTAACCAACTGAGCCACCCAGGCGTCCCCCTTTATTTGTCATTCTCTAGGTTCTTCATGCTTCTTTGAAAGCATACCATCTTTTTATGCTTTAAAAATTTTAAATATTGAGATATAATTCATATAGCACAAAACTCACATTTTTTAAAAGTGTATACTTCAGTGGTTGTTAGTATATTCAACAAAGATGTGCAACCATCACTGCTATCAAATTCCAGAACACTTTCATCAACCCCAAAAGAAACTATATCCTTTAGCAGTGACTTCCCTTCCCCTCTGTCCCCACCTCCTGGCAACCACTAATCTACCTTGTCTCTATGGATTTGCCTATTCTGGACACCTCATATAAATGGAATAGTACAATATGTGGTTCTTTGTGATTGACTTCTTCCACTCAGCATATTATTTTCAACGTTCATCCATGGTGTAGCATGTATCAGTACTTCATTCCTTTTTATGTGGATGAATAATATTTCACTGTAGGTAGGCCACTTTTTTTTTTTTATCCATTTGTCAATTGATGTACACTTGGGTTGTTTCCAGTTTTTGGCTATTATCAATAAGGCAGCTATGGATATTCATGTAAACATAATGGTTTATGTGTGAACATAAGTTTTCATTTGGGGACGATAAATGACCCAAAGTACAATTGCTAGGTAATATGGTGTTTGCATGTATAGTTTTGTTTTTTTTTAAGAACCTGCCCAACTATATTCCCAAGTGGCCGTACCATTTTACATTCCTTCAGTGTATTTCCCTACATCCTCACTAACATTTATAATTGCCCATCTTTTCAATTCTGGCCATCCTAGTGGGTGTGAAGTATCTCATTGTGGTTTTGATTTGCATTTCCCTGGTGACTAATGATGCTGACCATATTTTCATGTTCTTGGTGGCCATTTGTATATATTTCTTTGGAGAAATGTCCACTCAAATCTTTTGCCCATTTTTAGTTATTTGTCTATTTATTGTTGAGTTGCAGATTCCTTTTATATTCTGGATACTAGTCCTTTGTCCCAGATACTTTCTCCCATTTAGTGGATTGTCTTTTCAAAACTTGCATGTGTCTTTTGAAGGACAAAAGTTTTAAAATTTTTCATGAAATTCCAGTGAGGGCCAACGTAACTTTATTTCTTAGGGTTGCGGTCTTTGTGCCATTTCTAAGAAATTGTTGCCTAATCCAAGGTCATGATGATTTATATCTGTTTTTTCCTAAGAGTCATACTGTTAACTCTTGGGTTTTTTTTTTTAAAGATTCTATTTATTTACTTGAGAGAGCAAACGCTCAGAGAGAGAGAGAGAGAGAGTGAGAGAGTGAGCACAAGTGGTGGGGAGGGACAAGGAGACTCCCCACTGAGCGGCGGGGCTCGATCCCAGGACCCCGGGATCATGACCTGAGGCATGACGAAGGCAGACGCTCAACCAACTGAACCACCCAGGAGCCCCCATGCTGTTAACTCTTATAGGAAGGTCTTTGTTGTATATAGTATGAGGTAGGAGTCCAACCTCATTCTTTTGCATGTGGATATCCAGTTGTCCCAGCACCATTTATGAATACTGGTTGTTTTCTAATGTAGTTTGTTTGATTTCTTTCTCTTTTAATGGGAATCCTGGCTAGGAATGATGGAAAGGAAATGAGGTCTCTGCTCTAACAACAGAGACACATGTAATGACACATGTACCTCTTACACACCAGGTACTGTTTTGGTGCTCAGTGTCCCCAGTTCACCTCTCTTTTCCAGGAGCAGAAACAGAAGCCTGTGTGCAATCTCCTTATGGAGGCATTAAATGCTAGCCCCAGAAGCCGCCACCTTCAGGTGGCAGAGATGTCTGTAAACAGTCTTTTTATGTTCTGCATCCTCTTTTCTACAGGAGATTTGGCAGGTCGTGCAGAACTATTGGGGAAAACCTCTCTAAGGATCTGGAATGTGACCCGGACAGACTCAGCCCTTTATCGCTGTGAGGTGGTTGCTCGAAACGACCGCAAAGAAATTGATGAGATTGTCATTGAGTTAACTGTGCAAGGTAGGAGCTCACATGAAGTTAAAACATGTTCCCCCTTTTAGGCCTCATGAGTCTGTCTAGAAAATAAAAAAGATCCGGAAAGGGGAAAAATAAATAAATAAAAAATTCAAAAAAAAAAAAAAAGATCAGCTCTTTCTTTCCTTCTAGACTATATCCCTAGGGGTATCACAGGACTCAGGGAGTAGGCGGTTGTAGGAGCTTGGGCTGCCTGAGTTGGGGTGGAAGGTTGGAAGGGAAGTGGAGCTCTCCCTCCACCAGCCTCAGGAGGGGCTCCTCGGAAGCTGGAGGCATTAGGAATGCACTGAGGGGTCCTACGCGGGGAGTGGGGGGTGAACCGCGGGGCCGATGCAGCGGCAGATTCGAGCCCGCGGGCGCGACGTGGGGGCAGCAGTGCTGCAGCCCCTGGCCGGTTGTCCTGTTTGGGGAGCAGATTTACCGTGGGCTTTTTATTTTTTTTTAAAGATTTTTTTTTTATTTATTATTTGACAGAGAGAATGAGAGGGGGGAGGGTCAGAGGGAGAAGCAGACTCCCCGCCGAGCAGGGAGCCCGATGCGGGACTCGATCCCGGGACTCCGGGATCATGACCTGAGCCTCGGCAGTCGCTCAACCGACTGAGCCACCCAGGCGCCCACTTACAGTTTTTTTATTTTTTTAAAGATTTTATTTATTTATTTGAGAGAGAGAGAGAGTGAGCACGAGATGGGGGAGTGGGAGAGGGAGAAGCAGACTCCCCGCCGAGCAGGGAGCCCGATGCGGGACTCGATCCCGGGACTCCGGGATCATGACCTGAGCCTCGGCAGTCGCTCAACTGACTGAGCCACCCAGGCGCCCTTACCGTGGGCTTTGAGAGGAATCAGTCCATGCTGCTGACTTGCAACGCCAACCCGTATTTCTCCCGCAGTGAAGCCAGTGCCTCCTGTGTGCAGAGTCCCGAAGGCTGTACCGGTCGGCAAGTCGGCCACGCTACACTGCCAGGAGAGCGAGGGCTACCCCCGGCCCTACTACAGCTGGTACCGCAACGACGTGCCGCTGCCCACCGACTCCCGAGCCAATCCCAGATTCCGAAATTCCTCTTTTCTCTTGAACTCTGAAACAGGCACTCTGGTAAGACCTCTTCTCAGACGTGAGGATAGAACTGTCTTTGTTGAGGAAGGGAGACCTGTTGTGGAAAGAGCACTTATTAGGAAAGACAATGAACTCTGTAGGACAGGGACTAAAAACCTATAATGTTGGAGATTCTGTGGGGAAAAATGAACCTCCCGTCCTGCTTGTAAGCAAATAAATTCTAAGGGGATAAAATAAAGGAAGGGAAACCTGTAAAATAAAGGTGATTGTAGAGGTCTGTTAAATGTAGTGGGTGGGTAATGTTAGGTTCCTGATATGAATAACCAACTGTAAAAATCATGAGACAGGGAAATTGGATTACTGGCGGGATATTCGATATTAAGGAATTGTTCATTGCTTTAGGTGCAATAATGGTATTGTAGTTATAATCTGAGTAAGTCCTTGTCTTTTAGAGTTGCATGCTTAAGTATTTATGGATAACACGTGTCTAGAATTTTCTTCAAAACAACCCAGCAGTGGTGGTAGGAGGTGGGGTTGGGGGGAGAGATGAAATAAAGTTGGTCTTGTGTACAGGACAGACTGCCCTCCACGGCAGCATCTCAGCCGAGCTTTACTGCAGCCAGGCCTCCTGATCCGTGGCGTATCTAACTACACATAGTAACAAGCCAGGTTCTGTAGGATCCTCTGTATTTGTGTTGCCCAAGTGTTGCTGAGAAACAATGCTTATCAGAGAGTCCCTTTCCCTGAATAAAAGTGAAGCCCACACAAACCTGAGGGGATCTCACTGTTCAGGAGCTCTTGGGCAAGACTGCAGGGGAAGAGTATCAGGGAAGAACCTGGACAGTGAGCAGAAACTGAAGGGAAACCAGGAGCAAATGAGAAGACATTGTACTAAGCTCTGGACTTAGGGCCTTCGTGGGGGAGAGGAGCTTGGCGAAGTCTTCTCTTCAGTCCGCAGAGGTCTGCTCTGTTGATTGGTCTCATGATTTACTTGTAATTTCCTGCAACAGGTTTTCACTTCTGTTCACAAGGGAGACTCTGGGCAGTATTATTGCATCGCTTCCAATGATGCAGGCTCAGCCAGATGTGAGGAGCAGGAGATGGAAGTCTGTGAGTTACTTTTTGAAAATATTTCATCTGAAGACTGGCAAGTGGATAGAACATTTTTAATATTAGACCATCAGTTTAGACAACTGCTCAGCCTTCTTCTGGAGATGACTGGATTCACCAAAACTCACTCGGGTACATTGAAAGGAAAGATGAGAAAGTTCTGAGTAACAGCTAAATGACTAATAAGTGCTTACTTGCAATATGTTTATCTCCTCAAAATAGACTTTCTGGAGTCTTGTGATGTTGGGAACATAGTTAATCATGTTGCTTTTAACTGAGTATATATTTATTTTAAAAAATTTTTTTGAAGATTTTATTTATTTATTTGACAGAGAGAGCCAGAGAGCATAAGTGGGGGGAACAGCAGAGGGAGAGGGAAAAGCAGGCTCCCCGCCGAGCAGGGAGCCCAACTCGGGGCTCCATCCCAGGACCCTGGGATCATGACCTGAGCTGGAAGGCAGAGGCTTAACCAACTGAGTCACCCAGGTGCCCCTTAACTGAGTTTAATAAACTCCATTTCTGGGATGTAAGCATCCGACTCTTGATCTTAGCTCAGGTCTTGATCTCAGGGTCATGAGGTCGAGCCTTATATTGGGCTCCATGCTGGGTGTGGAGCCTACTTTAGATGATAGATGATAGATAGATAGATAGATAGATAGATAGATAGATAGATAGATAGATAGATAAACTAACTCCACTTCTTTGATAATTGATAAAATTACCAAAACATAATGTCGTGTAAGGTCTCCAGAAATTTATCCAGTTCTAACCATTTTGTGGTAAGCTGACAGCCAGAGTTTTAGCCTCAGTAACTTTACCCTGTTCTGTGATGATACCGTCTCTTGGATGCTGGTTCTAAAGGAGGGTGTTGAAGGCAGGATGGGGCAGATGGGGCATGTCGCCATCACAGTCACCTGGGGAGTGATCTCAGCCCCTCCCTCCTTCCTGTGTATAACTGACCCCAGAGCAGTGTTTTCCAAGCTTGCCTGATTGTGAGAATCATTTGAGTGCACTGTTCCATGCACAGATTCCAAGGCCCACCCTGGGCGTATGGACTCAGTCCCCCTGGGAGGTCTGGAAATGTCTGTGTGTCCAGCAGCACTCCCGGGGATTCTTGTCATCTGTCAAATTCAGGGAACAGCTCCAGAGCAGGAGGAAGACTCTGGGCTTTGCCCAGACCTACTGCATCTCTCTCTGGTGATAGAGCTTGGGAAGTGACATTTTGAGGTCACAGTTCCGGTTTTTAAATGCACACGCACATTTGAAACCACTGCACCAGGATAAGGGAGGATTTAACAACTTCCAAGTTAGTTGGCTTATGCTGATATATGGCCTGCATGTTCTCCATTGCGTTTTTACCTGCATGAAGGAAGCAGCCCCAGTGTCCCGTACTGATGGGGACTGAGTACCTTTGCCCAGTATACAGAAATGGGAAGAGGGGTCAAGGGCTTTCCTCCAAGAGGCTTGTAGATGCAAGGCCAGGCAGCTGATAGGGAAAGGTCATGTTCCCACATCATGTTTTTATTTTTCAGTCCTGTGCGAAACTAGTTCTCTTTCCCCAAATAATGCACAGAAAAGGGAATCCCTGGAAATTAGGAATTTTTTCTTTGGAATTCCTGGTTCCTTAATTCTGTCTTTATAAAGTGAAACCATTTACTCCATTAATAATATTTTCAGGGATTTAGCCAGAAGATCTTAAAAGCCTTTATACAATGCTAAGCCCCTTTTAATACAGGATTAAGTATAACGGCATTTGAACTTTGGCGGTCTCAGTACTTTTTTTTTTTAATTTTTTTATTGTTAGGTTAATCCCCATACATTACATCATTAGTTTTAGATGTAGTGTTCCATGATTCATTGTTTGTGCATAACACCCAGTGCTCCATGCAGAATGTGCCCTCCTCAATACCCACCACCAGGCTAACCCATCCTCCCACCCCCCTCCCCTCTAGAACCCTCAGTTTGTTTTTCAGAGTCCATCGTCTCTCAGGGTTCGTCTCCCCCTCCAATTTCCCCCCCTTCATTCTTCCCCTCCCGCTACCTTCTTCTTCTTCTTCTTCTTTTTTTCTTAACATATATTGCATTATTTGTTTCAGAGGTATAGATCTGAGATTCAAAAGTCTTGCACAATTCACAGTGCTTACCAGAGCACACACCCTCCCCAGTGTCCATCACCCAGCCACCCCATCCCTCCCACGCCACCCCCCACTCCAGCAACCCTCAGTTTGTTTCCTGAGATTAAGAATTCCTCATATCAGTGAGGTCATAGGATACATGTCTTTCTCTGTTTGACTTATTTCAATAAGCTCAGCATAATACCCTCCAGTTCCATCCACATCATTGCAAATGGCAAGATCTCATTCCTTTTGATGGCTGCATAATTTTCCATTGTATATATATACACCACATCTTCTTTATCCATTCATCTGTTGATGGACATCTTGGCTCTTTCCACAGTTTGGCTATTGTGGACATTGCTGCTATAAACATCGGGGTGCACATACCCTTTCGGATCCCTACTTTTGTATCTTTGGGGTAAATACCCAGTAGTGCAATTGCTGGGTCATATGGTAACTGTATTTTCAACTTTTTGAGGAACCTCCATACTGTTTTCCAGAGTGGCTGCACCAGCTTGCATTCCCACCAACAGTGTAGGAGGGTTCCCCTTTCTTCGCATCCCCGCCAACATCTGTTATTTCCTGACTTGTTAATTTTAACCATTCTGACTGGTGTGAGGTGGTATCTCATTCAGGTTTTGATTTGGATTTCCCTGATGCTGAGCAATGTTGAGCACTTTTTCATGTGTCTGTTGGCCATTTGGATGTCTTCTTTGAAAAAATGTCTGTTCATGTCTTCTGCCCATTTCTTGATTGGATTCTTTGTTCTTTGGGTGTTGAGTTTGATAAGTTCTTTATAGATTTTGGATACCAGTCCTTTATCTGATATGTCATTTGCAAATATCTTCTCCCATTCTGTCGGTTGTCTTTTGGTTTTGTTGACTGTTTCCTTCGCTTTGCAAAAAGCTTTTTATCTTGATGAAGTCCTAATAGTTTATTTTTGCCCTTGCTTCCCTTGCCTTTGGCGATGTTTCTAGGAAGAAGTTGCTGCGGCTGAGGTCGAAGAGGTTGCTCCCTGTGTTCTCCTTTAGGATTTTGATGGACTCCTGTCTCACATTGAGGTCTTTCAACCATTTGGAGTCTGTTTTTGTGTGTGGTGTAAGGAAATGGTCCAGTTTCATTCTTCTGCATGTGGTTGTCCGATTTTCCCAATACCATTTGTTGAAGAGACTTTTTTCCATTGGACATTCTTTCCTGCTTTGTCGAAGATTATTTGACCATAGAGTTGAGGGTCCATTTCTGGGCTCTCTATTCTGTGCCATTGATCTGTGTGTCTGTTTTTGTGCCAGTACCATACTGTCTTGATGATGACAGCTTTGTAATAGAGCTGGAAGTCCGGAATTGTGATGCCGCCAGCTTTGCTTTTCTTTTTCAACATTCCTCTGGCTGTGCGGGGTCTTTTCTAGTTCCATACAAATTTTAGGATTATTTGTTCCATTTCTTTGAAAAAAGTGGATGGTATTTTGATGGGGATTGCATTGAATGTGTAGATTGCTCTAGGTAGCATTGACATCTTCACAATATTTGTTCTTCCAATCCATGAGCATGGAACGTTTTTCCATTTCTTTGTGTCTTCCTCAATTTCTTTCATGAGTATTTTATAGTTTTCTGAGTACAGATCCTTTGCCTCTTTGGTTAGATTTATTCCTAGGTATCTTATGGTTTTGGGTGCAATTGTAAATGGGATCGATGCCTTAATTTCTCTTTCTTCTGTCTTGTTGTTGGTGTATAGGAATGCCACTGACTTCTGTGCATTGATTTTATATCCTGCCACTTGACTGAATTCCTGTATGAGTTCTAGCAGTTTTGGGGTGGAGTCTTTTGGGTTTTCCACATAAAGTATCATATCATCTGCAAAGAGTGAGAGTTTGACTTCTTCTTTGCCAATTCAGATGCCTTTTATTTCTTTTTGTTGTCTGATTGCTGTAGCTAGGGCTTCTAGTACTATGTTGAATAGCAGTGGTGATAGTGGACATCCCTGCCGTGTTCCTGACCTAGAGGGAAAGCTCTCAGTTTTTCCCCATTGAGAATGATATTCACTGTACGTTTTTCATAGATGGCTTTTATGATACTGAGGTATGTACCCTCTATGCCTATACTCTGAAGAGTTTTGATCAAGAAAGGATGCTGTACTTTGTCAAATGCTTTTTCTGCATCTGTTGAGAGGATATGATTCTTGTTCTTTCTTTTGTTAATGTATTGTATCACGTTGATTGATTTGCGGATGTTGAACCAACCTTGCAGCCCAGGGATAAATCCCACTTGGTCGTGGTGAATAATCCTTTTAATGTACTGTTGGATCCTATTGGCTAGTATTTTGGTGAGAATTTTTGCATCCATGTTCATCAGGGATATTGGTCTGTAATTCTCCTTTTGATGGGGTCTTTGTCTGGTTTTGGGATCAAGGTAATGCTGGCCTCATAAAACGAGTTTGGAAGTTTTCCTTCCATTTCTATTTTTTGGAACAGTTTCAGAAGAATAGGTATGAATTCTTCTTTAAATGTTTGGTAGAATTCCCCTGGGAAGCCATCTGGCCCTGGGCTTTTGTTTGTTGGGAGATTTTTGATGACTGCTTCAATTTCCTTAGTGGTTATAGGTCTGTTCAGGTTTTCTATTTCTTCCTGGTTCAGTTTTGGTAGTTGATCCATCTCTAGGAATGCATCATTTCTTCCAGGTTATCTAATTTGCTGGCATAGAGTTGCTCCTAATATGTTCTTCTAATTGTTTGTATTTCTTTGGTGTTGGTTGTGATCTCTCCTCTTTCATTCATGATTTTGTTGATTTGGGTCATTTCTCTTCTCTTTTTGATAAGTCTGGCCAGGGGTTTATCAATCTTGTTAATTCTTTCAAAGAACCAGCTCCTAGTTTCGTTGATCTGTTCTACTGTTCTTTTAGTTTCTATTTCATTGATTTCTGCTCTGATCTTTATTATTTCTCTTCTGCTGGGTTTAGGCTTTATTTGCTGTTCTTTCTCCAGCTCCTTTAGGTGTAGGGTTAGGTTGTGTATTTGAGACCTTTCTTGTTTCTTGAGAAAGGCTTGTATTGCTATATACTTTCCTCTTAGGACTGCCTTTGCTGCATCCCAAAGATTTTGAATAGTTGTGTTTTCATTTTCATTGGTTTCCATGAATTTTTTTAATTCTTCTTTAATTTCCTGGTTGACCCATTCATTCTTTAGTAGGATGCTCTTTAGCCTCCATGTATTTGAGTTCTTTCCGACTTTCCTCTTGTGATTGAGTTCTAGTTTCAAAGCATTGTGGTCTGAAAATAGGCAGGGAATGATCCCAATCTTTTGGTACTGGTTGTGGAGGTCTCAGTACTTTTTACAAGTGAGAGCAGGGGTCTGGGGTCCTGAATGTTCTGGACTAGAAAGAGTTGAAGTGGTCTTACTCTGCTCTCCTTCTGGCTGGGGTAGGCATGAGAGGGCAGAGCGGGGAAGTGGAAGGATGCAGGATTAGGAAGGAGGCACAATGTGCTCAGGGGCTTTTATAAGACCAGATAGTGTGTATTCTCTCTTCCCTCAATCCCTCTTTTCTCCAGATGACCTGAACATCGGTGGCATTATTGGGGGGATCCTGGTGGTCCTTGCTGTTCTGGCCCTGATCACCGTGGGCATCTGCTGTGCGTACAGACGGGGTTACTTCATCAATAATAAACAGAATGGCGAAAGGTGAGCCTGTCTTCTGTCTTAAGTCTTAACTTCTGTCTTAAGTCTTCTGTCTTCTGTCTTAAACAAAATCAAAGTTTAAGTTGACATTACATGAAAAATCAGTAGTCACTGAAGCCATCTCTCCTCCTTTTTCAGTTATAAGAGTCCGGGGAAGACAGATGGAGTGAACTATATCAGGACAGACGAGGAGGTAAGGAAAGGAGTGAGGCAACAGAGCAGACATCCTTTAGGAAACCTAGAAATTGAGGTGTTTCCAGCAGAAAAAATGACATTCCTCCTTGGAAACCCTCCCAGTGCAATGTTTGTACACACTCCTGGCGTGCACAGTTTGCAGGCTCTAATAGATGATACTTTTGAAGAATGGTTTCATTTGATTTGTTTTGCCTTAAGTTTCTTCTTCAGGGAAACGGGGCCTAGCCCTGGCTTGCACTCTTCCTCTCCTGCTCGGGCCCCGGGGTCAGTAGAGGATGGCCGTGTCTAACCCTGTGTTGGCCTTGCAGGGCGACTTCAGACACAAGTCATCATTTGTGATCTGAAATCTGATGGTGTGGCTGAGGGAGCACATGCAAATACCTCTACCAGAAACTCCTATCAAGAGCAGCCCGGGAGCCAAGTGCACTTGGACAGAGCTAGACACTTGCGCAAAAGCTTTTTTGTTTTGGCCAAAGTTGACCGCTACTCCTTTCTTACTTTTTAACAAGCCACATGAATAAAAGAATTTCCCTCGAGATGGGCGTAGTCATCACAAGGAGAAAAAAAACAAAGCTGCATTTCACGGAGGCTGATTCCCAGTCTGTTTCTGGCCTGGCTCCCGCCTGAATGTTAGGGTGATCAGGAAGCTCTTGGCCACAGAGGCTGGGCTGGGCACTGTGGGCCAGTGAAGCCAGTTTATTCGCCACTCACCTCCGTCAGCCAGGGTGAGTCCTGTGTGGGGGGCCACCAGGCAGCCATGTAGCACCGGTAATGCAGGGCTTGGGAGCACGACCCACTGCAACACCCTGCAGCTGCAGAGTTTGAACCAGGGAATCCAGAAAAGAGGTGTTTTATGCGATGATCTTGTTTCACAGCTGCCCCCAGCCAGCACTGCAGATTCTTCTTGAAGGTTCTATTCATCAGTATTTTAGTGTCCATCTTGGAAAATCTGTTTGGATCAGAATTTTATGAAAACAGCCCAAATCAGGAAGGTAAATTGCTTGTTGGAAGAAGGGATCTTCTTAACTGTAGGAGCCCTGCTTGTCCATGGGGGGTGGGGGGTGGCCAGTATTTACATAAAACCTTCATCTTAGGTGAAATCTGAAATGGTACTGAAATAATGTTCTGCTTTTCTATGGGTGTTTATTTTATAAAATTTTACATTCTAAATTTTTGCTAAAGATGTATTTTGGTTATTGAAAAGAAAATTTCTATTTAAATTGTAAATATGTTGTCATACAGTGTTAAATACCTATTTTTTTAAAAAATTTCAACTTAAGGTAGGAGTTCCAAGCTACTCGTGTTAAATTGGAAAATGCCAATAATTAAAGAGTATTTTAACCCCAAAAATCCTCTCAAGGAAGCTTACTGGAACATTCCTTTTTTTCCACCTAAGTTTCCGCATTTTTCACAAGAGAAACCTTGTCTATACATCCGATCATTGTTACTTAGGAAACCTTTAAAAAAAATCCAGTTGAATAATGTCAAAATCTATTTGCAACTCTCCAAAAGAAACATAAGGAGTTCTAAGGTTAGCTTTGAACGGCCTCTTCCTAGATCACTCAGACTACCTATGCCCAGAGACCACCCAGAAGTGCTTGGATGTCCCTGTGAAACCACGTTCGCCAACCCCCGGGCTCGAGTCCTGTGCCCCACTCGAAGGCCATAGTGGCTACTAACTTCAAAGGCTAGCCAGCGCATGCACTGCCATCTTTATTGGCCTGACAGAGGCTTTGTGTGCTGATGAGCTTTATAGTGTTGGACAGTTGTAAGGTGGACACTTCAAGAAGGGTGGGTGTCTTCCCTGTGGTATCCCAGCCTTCGGCTCCCCTGTGGCAGAGCTCTTTTTCGTTGTGGATGGCTCATGAAACAAAGTAGCTATTGTTTGGCTTTAAAATTCATTTTACTTATTTGTGTAGTTCATCAGACTGTCCAGGGCCAAAGGCAGTTCTGAAAACTACAACAATGTTTTTTAAGAAAATGAATTCCACTTTTCCTCTTTGCCGTGAAGAAAGCACGGAGACACCGCAGGTCGTGTCTCACTTCACAGTAAACCCATTATGTGGTGGCGGCGAGGCCAGCCCTTTGAAGAACATCAGGTAGTGCAGCCGGGGTGGAGAGCCTGATGGCAAGGAAAGCGAAATGCCTGAATCAAGGGCAGTTTTCTGATTTTGATTTTAAAGTCTTTATCTACCCAAGACACTGCTGCTCACTGGGTGTGGGGCATTAGAAACATCATTCAAAAGCCTTTGTTCTTCGAGAGCAGATGTTCTTCGCCTCAGATACATTGCCGTGTTAAACTCATGATGCGGAGCGGTTTGAAGAGGGGGCTTCTCGGAGGAGCGCCTCCAGTTCCATTGTGTGCTTCGAGGGTGGTTTTTACGTAGAAGGATGTAGTCATCTTGGGATTAAACTTCCAGTGTCTTAATTTTTTATACTTGAGGGTTTTTTTAATTGAATACTTGAGACTTGTGTTGACTTTTTTATGTTCTGTGAATACTCTGCCACAGGGTGTTTGGCAGAAGCAGTGGGCAACTCTTCATAATTGCTTAATGGTACCCATCTTCTTTTGCGTTTGTGTCTTGAATGCTTAGACCTAAGATATCCCTTCATCTTCACCCCCTCTTGGTAGGAAGGGATAGTGTCCCCGTTCTCTAATTGTTGGGGAGCAACACCCTAGCTGCCATCTTGGTTGTCCTAGTGATAGGACAGCCCCGACTCCCTTCTTATGACCGTAACACCACCTAGCCTTGTGCCATGTGAACTGGGGCTGACAGAAGTGAGTATGGAGGCTGGGAAGTTGTTGCCGTAGACAGAAAAGGAATATTCGTACGTTTTTAAGATGTGAATGTGACTGAAGACTCGAAGCCTCTGCAAGGCTATCGTGGCCTCTGGTGTAGCTGTGCTGTACATAGACATTGCAGACTTGTACTAACACACCTGTAAGTTGGTATTTGTTAAACCTCATTTATAAAAGCTTTTAAAAAATCCACTTTGCCTCGTTTTTTCTCTTCCTTATGTACTCTTACGTTGAGTTTACCTTGTTTTCCTAGTATTTTGGTAGGCAAGTACACTTAAAATGGCATGATCCCAGGTTTAAAGAGAGACTGCCATCAATTACCATCTGCTTGATTTGGAGATAAGTGTCTTTACTCAAGAGCCGCTTTGTGACTCTCTCTGCCAATGAATGACCTGTCCACGTGTGTCACCGTTCATGTATGGGAGAACTGCAGAACAGAGCACAGTGACATCCTACCCCTCTAATCCAACTACCACATTTATACTAAAATCATATCAACACAGTAACCTTGTACTTCTGCTTCTGTAGTGCTGGGTTAAAAAGTGAACTGACGACTGAATTTCTTCCTGGTCACTCTTGGACAAAACATGAATGCACACGTGTTTAAGGTTACCTAACGGCATCAGCAAAAGACACCAAAGCACCCCCCCCCCATCCCCATGGGAGCAGTCTTTGTGGACTGTTAACACAAACCAGCATTAGTGCATGCCGCACATAGGCGAACTTTCAGGCGCAGGCCCGCGTTTACGTATGAAGAGGAGAGAAGGACATGTGCTGTTAGGAGGCAGACAGCTTCTGTCCGGGACAGAGGCACAGGAACAGATGAGCTGAGCCTTAAAGACAAAGGGAGTCATTTTTTTTTCCTAAAAGGAAAGTTGGGTTTTATTATTCTTTAACAACAGACATTTATTTCTCACAGTTCTTGAGTCTGGGAGGGTTTTATTATTCTTAAACAAACACTTAATGTAAATTAAAAAGCCCTGTTCTAAAAGTAGAAATATTCTGTTGAATACCAGAAGGCTGTATTTATGCTTAACCTTTATTATTCCATTTTAGAAAGCTGTACACTTTAAAACCTGCAATTTATAAATAAGAATAAAAAAAATAATTACAATCAAAATTTCATCATTAGATACAGGAAACTATTGTCCTGTAGGGAATTCCGACCAGATAACAGAGGATTCATTTATATAAAAGAAAGCTCATCTGTTGTGTTCCTTAAAGACCAGAGTATGCTTTATCAGAATAAATGGAGTAAAGTTAGAATATTAAATAGCTATGGCATTTCTCTATTATTTTACAATTTTTTTTTTTTTTTTTTTTTACCACATATTGCATAAAGAGAAATGTAAAATGTTGTTCACCACACAGGTGAACAGTCAGAGTGCCAGAGTCGTAAGAAAAAACTCTGGTATCACACAGTTAAAAGCCTCCTCCTCCCTGGGGGTAAGGGAGGTGGACTCTGTCTTTCCACAGGCAGGAGACAACATGTCCTTAGAGCTCTTGCTTCCCAGACACTCCCGAACGACGACGGTTTCAGTTGGCTGTTTTCAGGGGGGTCTTTCGGAGTGACCTCCTGCTGGGGGCTGGGTTATCTTTATTTCTGGCTGGGGACTTCACATTCCACTGCTGAGGCTGGGGAGGCCTAGGGAAAGGAAACAGACAGTCATTCTGGAACTAAAGATAAAACCCTGACAAAAACATTTACCTCAAAAGGAACTCTTGGTAAACTTACGGTTTATCAGGAAGCGATAAACATAAAATGTCATTTCCTTGACACTGGGCTTCAGTTTTCTCTGAAAGGGAGTTAGACACAAATTCAGATTTCCCAGAACTCAGAAGTGCCTAATGTATCTGACAGGAAAGGAACTTGCCTTTGGTTGAAGAAGGTGTCCGTGGGGTGCCTATGTAGCTGACTCCTGCTCCAAATGTGACATCATTGATGGTCCCTGGGTAAATTTGGGGACAACAACAGCATTAACGAAAAGCCAGTAGGAAGCAGACCTACATAAAGTCACCCGAGCAAGGTCAGGTGGAGCTTCCACTACACTTTTACTCAGTCACTTGTATCACTTCCTAAGCACCATCAAATCCAATCCAGGGGCCCTCTCAGGCCTCAGTCTGACCTTCGTGAGGGACTCCATGGAGACTGTCCTCCTGGACACTCATCCCATCCGTAGTCTCCTGGCTCCCTCCTCTGACCACTCCCTCACATGGCTTTGTGCTCCCCTGCACTCCCACTGGCCACTGCCCCTGGCTTCTCACCCACCGCACATCTCCGGTTACTGCCAACACACTAGTGACCCCCCAACTCCGGCCTCTCTCCCAAGTCCTGTGTCTCCTACTATGCTGCACTCCCTGAAGACACCTGGCCACCTCGTTACCCCCGCTCCTCAGCACGTTCCTTCCGAACCTCAGTCTTATCAATGGACGGTCCCAGTTGGGACTGTGAGGCATGAGAGGCTCCTTCTCCATGAACCTAATCACTAAGCGGTTACATTCGCCTTCCTCCTGGCTCCTCCTCCTGCCGCTTCCTCTCCTCCTCTCACCCGATGTGCGCTCCTCTCCCCCTGACTTAGCACAGTGCTCTCCACCCAGGGCCACCTCTTCTTTCAGTTCGCCCCTAGGAGGCAGGGAGCAGAGGGTAGGAACAGACTCGAATCACACTTGATTTGAATTCTGGCTTGCAGTCTTACCAGCTGTGTGAACTACTCTAAAAACCTCAAGTTTCTTTATCTCCAAAATGGGACACAGATGTACCCGCCTCAAGGGAGTTGTAGGGATTCAATGAGATTATTTATGTTAAGTCCTTAACACAGGACTTGGTACAAGGTAAGTGCTGAATAAAGGTTAACAACTATTGTAATTTCTTAGCTCTTATTCCCTGCGTCACTAGAATTAAGTCTAAAATGTGGTGAGGTGCCCGCTCTGCTTCGGGTCCCGCCGGCTCAGTGTCTGAGCTGGACAGAACCACCTTTGTGCGAGCCGGCCCCCAGCTGCCTTTCGGAACCCGGGTGCTGCATTCACACGCTGCCGGCCGCCGTATCCGGTCACCGACCTCTTGCGGGCCCTGGTCTGGGCACGCAGTTCTGCTGCCTGGAGTGCCTCCCTCATCCGACCACCATGCCGGTCCTTTGAGACTGGGTGACGATGCCTCTCCCAGGGCCTTGCTCCCTACTTTGTGTCCTGTACCTCTCTGCGTGAGCTGTCACCACACTTGTCAGGAACAGAACAAGCCTCCATAGCTGGCTGCTGACTGTCCTTCAGAGCCCACAGGCCTCCCAAGAACATGTGTGATGTAAACTTTCTCCCCTGCACTGTAGCCTTCTTAGGAGTACCGATTAGATCGTTCCAGTCTGTTTTAAAGTCCACAGTGCATCTGCAGTACTATGTGCCTGTGAACGACTTAAGGAGAAGGAGCCTCTCATGCCTCACAGTCCCAACTGAGACTAGCATTTTCATCGTGCTCCCACTCAATAGCTCAGTTGTGCCTATTCCTGTTTCTGGGAGGTGTCTCCTCGTGCTGCAATTCAAACTCCCCTTCCCTATGTACACACTCCTTTTCCAGTTTGGAAGCCTGAGCACATCCAGGTTATAGGTCTCCAACCTCGGCAAAGGCCACTATGCGATGGCTCTCGGATCCCCTGTGCGCTTTGTAAGCGCTTACAACCAAAGGCAGGAGCATCTCTGCTGCCTTGACTGACAGCAGTAAGAGGGACTTGCTGAACCCTGCACGGATTTCCAGTTAAGATCTAGCTCTGAAAAGGACTCATTTCCATTTAGCAAAGCCACTTTGCTCCTGCTGAATACCACCAGTGTGCCCGAACAGTGGAGCTGCCTAGCATTTGTCCTCCTGCCTTCGTACAGCTGAGACCACTTCCTGACAGTCACCCCACCTAAGAGTTGTCAACAGAATGTGTATCTACAAACCACAGAGAAAACAGAACTGAGTGTTTTTACATGATCTGATAATTCTCCCAGGAAGCAGAGCTAATAGGAGACCCTTCTTCAAGCATTCCTTCCTGGTTCAGAATAAGGAAAGATGGCCACGAATTTTATATTCAAGAGCCTAAAGAGAGAAAAAGCACTCTGTAGACCTGGGGACACCCAAGGGTCTTATTTTCAGTGCAAAGATGACTCCGTGCATGCAAATCCAAGCAGTATTAATGCAGCACGCCAGGCTCCACTGCTGAGGAACTTAGGCTGCTAGGAAACCAACCAAAGACTGAAATCAGGGACTCCTGGGGATGAGCAAAACTAAAATGAGATGCATTCCCCCCCGTTTTTGCAGCATATGGTTCCTAATGCCAAAATAGAAGCACTCGGTTCCTCTGAACCAGAAACAAAGAACATACAGAAAATTTGTTTCAGAGGTTGAATTTTTCACATATATAACATTACACCTGTTCAATATACAGAACCCCAAATTACTGCTTTAATGACAAAGCAGTCACGATTCAGTTGTCATCTAAGGAAATGTGGGTTAGGAGTTCTGTTCATCTGTTAATATTACTCCCTTAAAAGGAGGACTTGATGGGGGTGCCTGAGTGGCTCAGTCGGTTAAGCGTCTGCCTTCGGCTCAGGTCATGATCCCGGGGTCCTGGGATCGAGTCCCGCATCGGGCTCCTTGCTCCGCGGGAAGCCTGCTTCTCCCTCTCCCACTCCCCCTGCTTGTGTTCCCTCTCTGACTGTGTCTCTCTCTGTCAAAAAAATAAATAAAATCTTAAAAAAAAAAAAAAAAAAGGAGGACTTGATGGAAATTCTCTATAACCCGGTAAACACTCTAACAGATCATAGCATCACAGGTCATAGAACTGCCCAGCAACTAGCCAGAACACACTAGGTGCTCACTAAGTTTGTACTGACTGAACATACAACTAAATGAATGCCTTGCTCCTGGGTTGCACCATTACCAAAGAGAAGAACACCTTAACACGTTCTCATCTTGCAGTCACACCCAAGAGCAGCACTGCGAGAACAAAGGCTGTAGAAGGACACAGGAACTGCAATCGGGAGACCTGGCTTCAGGTCCCAGCTCTGCCATTCGTCCCATCACTTAACTCACTAACCTGTTTCGCTCCTCCCATGTTCCAGGCACTGTGGCAGGCCCAGTGGGTACAGTAAAGAGTAAAACAGCTTACAGACTAACTGCAAGGACAGATGAGGCCGTACAGCTGACCCTGAACAATGTGGGAGTTCAGTCGAAAATCTGTATATAACTTTTCACTCCCCCCAAAGTTAACTACCAGTAGCCTACTGTTGACCAGAAGGAAGCCTTACCAGTAATATCAACAGTCGACTAACACATATTTTGTATGTTATATGCATCGCATACTGTATTCTTACAATAAAGTAAGCTGGAGAACAGGAAATGCTATTAAGACAATCACAAATGCTATTAAGACCATTTATGGTGCTGCACTGTAAACAATCTGCACACAAGTGGACCCGTGCAGTTCAAACCCCTGCTGTTCGAGGGTCCGCTGTGTGTGGAGGTGTGGCGAGTACTGCTGAAGAGGTCAGAGTGCTAGGAGGGGGGCACCTCATCTCATCTGAAGGGTCAGGGAGGGCTGCTGCTGGAGGGTGAAGCGGCGGCCACCGGGAAACGGGAAGTTCTAGGTGAGGACGTGGCGCATGAACGCCCCATGCCAGGCAAGAGGGGGTGTATGCAGGACCCCGAGACCCCAGCCCAGGGCTGGCGGGCAGAGGAAGGGGGAGGTGGACAGCAAAGAGGTGGGAGGCACACTGAGACACACCATGGACCTAAGAAGCTATAAAACAAGGTAATGGGAAAAAATCCTCTACACTTCTAACTCACCTCGACTTTGAAATAACAGGAAATAACAGAAGATTAGAAAAACCACCCCATGGGAGTGAGAAGACATAGGCTCTCGGCACAGCTGGTGGTGGGTCCTCAAGAGGCCAGTGGGCCCGCAGGCTCAGCTGGCTCCGCGGCCAGCCTCGATGCCGTAGCCGGTGCCTGCCGGCGTGGACACGGGACCGCTACAAAGCAGGGCTGCGCAAGCGCTGGCTCTAGAATGGCAAGCTGTGCCTCAGCCTCCCTGCCTGCCTAACAGGGAGCCTCACGGGTGGCTGGGAGTTTAACTGAGCGCATACCCGTAAAAGCACTTAGAAGACCGCTCACCGACAGTCAGCTAGTGCTCAGGCTGCTGAGTTATAATTGTCACGAGATGCCGTGTGACAAGGCACCACAATGCTGCTGACCACCAGGAGCGCCCGCATCTAGGGAAAGACCTATCTTCCAACAGGAGGAGTCCCGCAGACACACGGTGACTGAGGAGAGTCTCAGCAGAAGCCGGCTTGTCACAGGAGTACTTACTCTCAGGAGTACTGATCGCTCGTTTAGTTACGTGGTCCACAGCTCCACTGGACTCCTGCTCCAAGCTGTAGGAGGTTGCTAGGATAAAACAGAAAGTTTTAGCTGTCCAAAAAACCCCAACACATTAGCAAGATCTATGATAAAGTTAATATCCCAAATAAATTGTTCTTATAATGAAGTAACTCAGAAAGATACCAAAAAATGGTAAACATGAGAAACATTGTCCAATTTCACTAGGATTCAAAGAAAAGGAAATTAAGGGGCGCCTGGGTGGCTCAGTCATTAAACGTCTGCCTTCGGCTCAGGTCATGATCCCAGGGTCCTGGGATCGAGCCCCGCATCGGGCTCCCTGCTCGGCGGGAAGCCTGCTTCTCCCTCTCCCACTCCCTCTGCTTGTGTTCCCTCTCTCGCTATGTCTCTCTCTGTCAAATAAATAAATAAAATCTTTAAAAAAAAAGAAAGAAAGAGAAGGAAATTAAAACCATAACCGGTTTTGATCTATAAAGCCCGGCAAAGAAGATGGGAAATTTTAAGACCAATGTTTCTAAGCAGGAAAATGGCCACTGGCTCCCGCCAACGTACAACTGCAGTGACTTACAGAAGTCAATCTGACGCTATCAAAGGCTTTAAAAATATTCATGGCCTCTGAGTGCTGGGAATCAATTCTAAAGATTATATACTTTATTGTGACATTATTTCAAAAAACTGAAAAACACCTGTATTTCCGAGAAGAAGGTAACAGTAAATAGGTTTCAATACTTCCACAAGATAGAATGCTAAGAAGCCATGGGGAGAAAAGTTCAGAAAGAAAAGTTCATGGGCAAATGTTCACTATTACTGTCAGTATGTGGAGGGAGGTCGATTACAAACCAGAAATGCACACTAAGATTACAACTTTATAAATAAGGCCAAATGCATGTGTGTGGGGAGTGGAAAGACGGGAAGAATGAACACGTTTCCACTCCACTCTCTTTTCAAATCTCTAATAAGAGACAACCCAGAGTCCCAAATCCCCAAAGTTGTTTTAAAGATAAGAAAACAGAATCATTTAAAAAAGGATGAGAGGGAGGCTTGTTCTGTGTTTTCATCTGTATCCTCACTGTGTCTGAGGTATAAAACCCACGGCTTCTATCGGCCCCCCTGGAGCCGCCCTGGACCTGGAACTTACCACGATGGCACATTTTGTCCAGGCTCTGAGAGCTTAACGGGAATGGCAACACTCCTGTGCTCCGACTCTGGTGCCTGCTACTGGACTCCACAGCTTTCTTGACAGAATTCAGGATGGCAATGGTGCTCAGGGACATGGGCCTGAGGAGGAAAACATGCCAGACATGGAGAGAGGACGAGGGCGAAAACGCTGCAGTAACCGCCCTCTGCCTCTCGGGAGCGCCCTCAACCACACTCCTTGCAAATCAGAAAGAGAGGATCCTGGAGGAGGTGTCTGCCAAAACGCCCACTGGGGAAGGCCCAGAGGCGGCGGAGAATGTGGTGAGAGGCAGTCAGCCCCGTACCTGATGCAGCGGCTCCATACCTGCCTTTGGGCATGAACCTCTTCAACAGCCCAGTCTCCAGGGCAGGGGACAGAGGCGGTGCTTGGCCAGCAAGCGCCCTGGGTGTTGAGGGCTGGCTCGCAGCAGCGGGCACAGTGCCACCTTCCCGGCCACCAACAGCTGGCATCACTTCTAAACTCGGAGCAACCTGTCAGGGAAGAGAAATAAAGACTCTTTATCTACTGACACTTTTGTTGTTGTTGTTAATGGAACCTTTACATGCCCTGAGCAAGTCCAGAAGTAATTTATTTCAAAAACCGTGTCAGCCCTGGGCAAGTAGAACGTTCTCTTCAGAAAGTTATGGCAGATGTCATGGCACTAAAGAGAAAAAGGATTAAGTTAGTTGGCCTTCATCAGTTTTTAATGCAGTGGATCTGTCTGGATTTCTCAGAGAGGTGAACACACTGTGTCTGGAAGTGAACAGCAGCTCGCTGGAAATACCCCAAGTGACATTCTGTTCGAAACAGGGGACGACAAACAAACTGAGACACCTAGGGGGATCTAATTAGCTGTGATCACTAGAATCACAGATCAGATAACCCGTCGACCAGCTTGCTTTCGGGGCATTCGCACGCAGCCCCCAGGCATTACTATGATGACTTTCCAGACAAGTTCATGCGGCCTGGCCAGGAGGGAAGGGAAGCCTCCCTGATCCAGGATCCATGTGGCACGCGTGGCAAAGGAACACGCAGCGGTCCACAACCTGCAACCCGAAAGGTCTCGTTCCAGCCAACCTCGGCTCCTACGTGGGTTTCGAGCAGCACTGGGGAAGCTGGGAGCGGAGGGCGGACTGGAGAGAGGAGGGTCACACACAACTTGTGCTGTGTCCCCCTGGCCCTGCAAGCCGCCGCACTCACATCTGCCTGCCTCGCTCGGCCCTGCTCCTGGGCTTGCTGCTCGCTGTACTTCTTGATGTCGTACTCGAGTTCTGATGCCAGCTGCCGGTCTAGCGCAAAGCAATCCTTGATTTCGTCACGGTAATCCTGCATCACCTCCTAAAACAGACCCCGAGGCATCTTTTAGTGTTTTCTTGAATAAATACATAAGCTCTGCAACACAACCAGAGAAATATTAACAGGAGTAGTAAGACATGTTTTGCTGAGAGCTGACTATTTCTAGTACATCAACCAACAAGTTAAGTAACAGGGTAGTATTTTCCTGGGAAAGGCCAACTGCACTGGTATTGACCACAGAAGCCAGGGAGCATGGAGTGAGACATTAAGTATCAGTTCTGATCTCTTAGGGAGTGTCCTGTCTACCCGCCGTTGAACAGGCAGTTTCCCAGGTTCCTGATGAGGAAGAAGGGACACGGAATCACACAATCAGAGCCTCAAGCAGGCCTTATTCCAGGGCACAGAACTGCCACTGACAAGCCACCCGCTTTCCATTCCTGAAGGCGGGGATGGGGTCAGTGATGTAGCTAGGTGGCCGGGCTTGGCTCTGGGTCACCACCAGTTTAAAGACTCTTGTAGTGTCACTGAGGCAGGCCCCTTAGGAATTCAAGTCAGAGGTTAGGTGGGCAGGCGATACCTGGCACTGTCCTGGCTCCAACAGGGCCTCTGGAGCAAGTTACAGGAAGCTGTGCAGTCTAAAAGTTGCTCATCTGTCTACACTAGCTTTCTCAGAGGACGGCAACTATGGCTCTACTCCCATCGTTGTGTCTTCCTCTGAAGATAGGACAGAAAAGCTTTTATCATATGACGCTAAGAACATTCTCAGGGCTTACAGGGGGCTGCCAGGGACCAGGCCTCTTGGCTAAGAGGAAGAAACCATTTCACCTAACTTAGTAGTAGAGGGAGAAGATTTATCGTAGCCCCACCTGTGAGGGAAGTCCCAACAAAGGGAAGGCAATCTATGAACCCTTCCGGCTACCGTGAAGAGAGGCTGCACAGGTCGGGGCAGAGGGCGGCTGAAGCTGCTTCCACAGAAGGCCGCCAACGAACGAGAGCCGTGCCGCTCAAATAGGGCAGCTGTGTGGCCATCCTTCGGCCGTGTGCTCCGCAACAGGGGATAGACTTACTGTTCGTAAGCCTTTAAGTAGTTTGAGGATCTAAACTCTTTTTTTCCCTCTCAGAGCTTTAAAACAGTCAGGGCAATAAAAGCCTAAGAATAACTGGACGTTCCCATTTTTTTCCCACACAATGAGCCTATCTTTCCTACCTTAACTTCCTTTAGTTTAAAGAGCTGTTTGAAGAATTTACATTAAATGTAATTTGGTTGTAGCCCTTACTGAAAAAATTTTTTTAGCATTTCTTGAGGAAGGAAATAGCATAGTGTAAACAGAGAAAGGAAAAAAACTGTTCCATTTATTTCTGATTGAAAAATTTTGCCAGAAAGGTCGGGGGCCTTATTTATGTCTGCACGGCAAGTCTACATAATGTCTTTGGGTGCTTAGACCACAACTTTTCATGGCCTCAGATCCCAGCAGTGACGGCGGCCCGGCCCCCAACAGTGCGCCCCAAGACCCACTGTTATTTCCTGATGCGGAGGCAGTGTTAAAGGTAAACATCCCCAAATCTAACATGATGCCCAATTACACTTTATCCCTCACCAGAATGAACTAAGATGATGCCTTTGTACTTGACCCCAGTTGAGAAAGTCTTCAAAACGGTATCTCCAAACTGGTATCAAGGACACACATGCTCAGCACAATGAGTCAGCCCTTCATAAACTCAACGGCATGAAAAAGGTGAGAACCGGCTTCTGTGGAACCTACGGTCAAACTCTCTCTCTCTCTTCCCCCCGACAGTCAAAGGCCTGTCTGGCTAGTCTAATTCTAAAAAAGTGTAAAGCTGGTTTTGTAGCATTTTGAGTCCCTATGTTCACCGACCAACTGCACCATCATAACTGTGACTGATCCTGAGAAATGAGCTAGAGATGGGAGACACCAACCACAAAGCACAAGGTCATCTTTTACCCTGAGATAGGTCATGAGTTCCCGCAAAGCTGGGATCTTATTTTTCTCTAACACGGTCTTCAGGGAGATGATAATTGGAATAATATTTTCTATGAAATTCTTCTTCTGAACCTGTAGTAACACAAACAAAGGCATGTTTTAGATGGATGAAGTTCCGAGACAAAGGCTTCTCCCTGACCTAGCTCCTCTGCACGGCCCATCTACGGTACTACAAAGACTTCTTGTTTATCTTTTATGATGATGCTGGGAACTGTCTAGGACCCAGCACCTTTGTCTTGGAGACTTTACAAGCATTACCTCAAAACACTCAGAAGGCTTTGTGAAGTAGGATGGGGATGAACGCTATTCTTACTTTCTAAACAAGAAACAGGAATTAGAAAGAGGCTGAATAACGACAACAGGCTCTAAACCACCACACAAACCCATCTTGGATCCAGTCAATTCCTCCACTCAGCATCCTCCCTTTGGAATGAAAATGAGTTCACTTCTGGCTACCCAAAAGGGACATTTTGTATCCCTGCCGTGAAATGACAAATGGTTGAGAATGGCTAAGCATGAAAGAGTCAGTGTTGTATTTCTCTCTTTTCGTGTGCATAACTTCGCACACATTTCGAAAAGGTTTATGCATTTATATAGTATCTGATTTGACCAAGCCTTCATATTCTTAACCGTGAATGATCACTAACCACAGATATTTTCTAATAAATCTCTCAGAATTAAAAATAGTCATTAGAGCAGCCCACATATGTAGTAAGATTTATCCTTCTGAATTCGGAAAGTATTCTTTTTCTTCTTATTTAAAGTCACTAGTATATGTTCCTTGCTTGTAAATCACCATTTCTAAAAAGTCTTATAGAAGGTCAATCAGTAGAGAAATAAACACTTTAATAAACATGAGTTTGAGCAGATGGTAAGTACAGGGATAGTCTTAAAAAGTGGCTTAAATGCATTCAACTCAATAAATATGATCAAATGCCTTCTCTGTAGCAGGCACAAAGCTAACCTGTGGGGATGTAAAAATGAAGCCAAGAATTCTTGCCTTCGGGCTCCTTCTAGACCAGACTGCGTGCTGGGATGAGTGGCACGGTGTGACCAGTGGCAGGATGGTGAGGAACTTACACAAGAGGGATGCCTAAGGAGGCAGGTGCATCTTTTGAAAAGATGTGGGAATTTGGCGGCAGGAAAGGAGGACAGGGTGGGAGAGGCCCCGCGGGCGGATAGACAGGGTGCAAAGGCACAGCAGCAGGAACGCACACCTCCCGCTCGAGGGACCAACAGGGACCTGGAGTGGGGAGGTCAGGGAGGGGAGCATGGAGACGGGAGCCTCAGGGGCAGGAGTCCCGTGTGCCTGGGAGAAGAATAAGGATTTTATTCAGAAGGTGACAGGAAGCCACCAAACTACAGACTAAAGGTAGCATTAGTGAGGTATAATTTATATGCAGTGAAATTTATCCATGTTCAGTGAACAGTCTGACGCATCGGACAACAGTACAGAGTGAGTCACCAACACCACAGTCTGCATACAATCACCCGTAATCCATCACCCTGAAATTCCCTGCTGCCCTCTGCAGCCAATCTGCCTCTAGTCTCTTTTAAGCAGGAGAATAAGATGATCAAATTTGTCCTTAAGAAAGATGCTGTGAAAGCAAGGCGGTACACAGCCTGGACCAGAAAAAACTAGAGACACAAAGCATGCTGAGTGAGGAAACCACTGGGAATGGCACCAGCTGAAGTAAGTACAGAACTGGTCGGAATGGGTGAGAGAGATGGGTTTGTGAGATAAAATGGACCGCATCTGGGGACACCCTGGATGGCATCAAAGTCTATTTCTTCAGGGTCCAAAGCTTTCAGGACTCAGGTGGGAAATACAACCTAGTGATCGAGGCTAGTGTAAGAACTGGACCCTGGTGAGGACTATGGCAATCAAGCGCCACTCTAAATCAGTCTGATCCCAATTTTCACACTCTGGCCAAAGGAAGCATGTGCCTGGCATGCTGGACTCCAGAATGGGGTAGTACTGAGTTTCCTTGTGTACAACTTGGTAGATAATGGCTTCCTTCTCCACAACAGAGACTGCGGGAGAAGAGACGAAGAGGAGGGAGAAGAGAGGAGTAACTCAGTTTTGACAGAGGAAGCTTGAGATGCCTGTGGCACATCCAAGCAGACCAACGGGATGGGTTCAGGCCATGAGAGGAGGTGGAGCTAGAAACACAGAGGCAGAATCGTCATCACTGGGGTGAGTGTTAAGGCCATGGGTGAGAATAAGACCCTGATCTGAGGTCGACCACCAGTACTCAGCGGGTGGACGGAGGAACACAGGGGTGTAACCAGGCCCATTTGTGGAACGACACACTCACTTGCGAGATGAGCTGCTTCTGAGCTTCCTGCATGACCGCACTGGCCAAGGCCGTGTCATCTTCTTCCATAAGGAGGTCCTTATCTGCTTTAGATCTCATGGCCAAAAGCTTGATCTCCTTTGAGCTGAGGACCTCAAATGTATCTGAGAGCAATTCACTGGCTTCCATGTCTAGGGGCAGGATGCCGTCGGCAAAGGACGCTGAGAGAGAGCACAGAAGATCAGCTTCTGAGAAACAGCCCAGCCCCAGGGGGGAAGGGTATCCCACAGAGCTAGGAGGGCCCATCTTGGCTTCGAGTGGGGGTCTGCATGGGCACAGCTGATGTCAAAGAAGGAAAAAAACGGGGTCTTCCCGTAGTATCAGGGTCTCATTTACTACAGGTCTGCTGAGCCATTAGCCATAGGGCATTTCATTTTTAAATATACATTTTATCCCAATTACACCAGGCCTACCCAAAATACTAAGACAGATTTTGGAAGTGATATTGAATCGCTGTTCATCTGTGAAGTGCTCCAGAAGAAATTTGTAGATTTTCATTCGTTTCTGCTTGTTTGTCTTTCCCTTCAGTGAAAACAGCCGTTTCTCTCTACGGTGAAACAGGAAAATTTTACCACAACACATGGGCAAGGGTACAAGGATGTTAATTTCAGTAGCAGTTCGCAGCACCCTCAAAAGCTGTCTGCCCAAGGCGTTAAGTGCACAGACGAGAGGACGGCGCGTCCCTCAGGACGCTATCACAGGCTGAACGGGCTCACATCACCCTGCCCAGAGAAGGCAGGCCGGCTGCAAGCCGCGCTGGGGCCGGAGTCTGTGCCTCTTCACTTGTACACGCAGCTGCCCACCTCCCCCTGCTCGCCCGGCCCTTCCCGAGAGCTCCGCTGACCTCTCGGACTGGGGGAACTTGTTATACTTCTCATGCTTCTCGTAGTTATTGAAGTGGAAGATACACTCAATGAAGTGCTGGAAGAACATGACAGGGTTCCTCTTCAGTAACAGGTGAGCCAGGCAAAACTCCCCGAAACTGCAAAGAAGGGGAGAGAGAAGAAAGAGACCCGTTTGCTGTTTGCAGACAGCCTCTAAAATTACACCGAGAATGCTGAGGGGCAGGGGGGAAACTGTGAATAAGGCAAAGGGATATGAAATCTATCCCAATACACAGCTTCGTTCAGACCAAAAAGCAAGATACAAATTTAGCTTCTTCTGTCTGTCCTTGCTCAAGAGCCTCCTTTTTGAATCCAAGGTCAGCATAAAGGCTTTTTCTACCAGGATTCCTTTCAAAATTCTAACAAAGTGTTATTACTCAGCTACACTTCAAATGTGGGAAAATAACCAACTGACCCCAAACTGCTCTTCAGGTAGAATTCTGTGGTCCTCATGGATGATGCCAACGACAAACCACCACCTGAAAATGAACAGTTGGCTTCCCCCCCTCAACTTGAGGTTTGTTGCTCTCAATAATGAACAAAAATCAATTTTCATAATTGGGACTTTTTCAAGAATTGGGATTCATTACAAGAGCCTCCCAGTTTGGGTCAGCACAGACAGTGAAGCACTCTCACCAAGCTCTGGACTCATCAGCAAGCCCCAGGCACTCTCCTTTCTCCTGTGCCCCCAAATCTGGAAGAGGCGTCCGACATGCACATACCAGGCTACCCAGGGAGACACAGATGTCACGAGCACTGCACCGATCTGAAGGGCAAAACACTAGTGGTTTCCAAAGCCAAATGTACATGGACAAAAGCCAGGTTATCCAACCGTAGGCCCCAGATAGTTTGTCTAGTAGGGGAGAGAAGGCCAAGGCACAGGCGTTTGCTCAGGGGTCAGCATGGGGTGGTGCAGGGCTGGCTCTGATTCATTTATACTGTCCAGACCAATGTTTTAATTTCATTTCAGAGTTAAATGCAATTTCCACCTACACAGGGGCACCAGTCTGCTCTCAAGGAGGGAGGCGCAGTGACGAGGACGACCCAAAGTGATTCTTGGCTTTGGAATGTACAGGACTCAAGGGAGATTCACCTTCCCCTAATGGTCCTCCTGAGGAGTATTAAAATCACTTTGTATTCAAAACATACACATTGATTAAAACTCAGAGAAGGTAGTTCCGGAAACATAATTGAAGTAAACCTAGGTAAAACCTCCAGGGCAAACAGAGGCACTCTGACCACTCACCTAGGAGATAAGGGAACAGCCTGAAATAATGCTGAACACAAAATCAACAAAACTCTATTTCGTAAAGGGACTCCCCTGAGGAGAAGTTCACATGAGGCCAGCTAGGAGCCCCTGTTGATCTAGGAGCCATCAGTCAGTATGTTCTACACAAACTGCTATTTAGTAGACCCGGCTAAAGGGCAAACAAGTTTGGTCACAGCATCAGGTGAAGTTCTTTCTAAACAAGGGTTACTCTGGTAAGCTCTCTATGACCAAGAGTGGAGAAAACTGGGGCGCCTGGGTGGCTCAGTTGGTTAAGCGACTGCCTTCGGCTTAGGTCATGATCCTGGAGTCCCTGGATCGAGTCCCGCATCGGGCTCCCTGCTCAGCAGGGAGTCTGCTTTGCCCTCTGACCCTATCCCCTCTCATGTGTTCTCTCTCATTCTCTCTCTCTCAAATAAATAAATAAAATCTTTAAAAAAAAAAGAGTGGAGAAAACCATTAAGTAAACAAAAACCATTCCCCCAGAAACAAGACTTTACCTTCCTTTACTACAGTTAAAACTCCCACAGCACAGCAATTCTTAGAACTACCTGCATTTTCTCCTCAGATCTGAAGTCATTCATGTGAAAATGAGATCAGACAGAATCCACTCTTCCGCAAGAAGACAGGCTGCTCTGAGCTTCAATTTGTGCACTTTGACTTGATGTCCAATGCTCATCTACTCAGAATTTAGGTCAAGAATATATAACAATAGAGGTAACTGATGCGCAAGATAGTGCAGTCTACCCCCTAGTGAATAACTGGCTTAACCAACTGTACAGATAAATCCAACGGTAACATAAATCATGCAAAGGATTCACATGCTCGGGGCTGGAAGCCGAGTCAAAGGGCTTTGCATCATGAGAAGCCAGAAACCACAGTCAATGGGTAACATTCAGCACTCGTCTTGCTGTTAACATTTACTGGGACTAAAAGGGCACATTTCAGCCTTGACTGGATTAAACTCACCAATCTTTCTAGCTTGATAAACTGGGGAAGAGAGATAATTTTGGGTTTTTTTGGTCAGCTGGCAAGTTAAAAGAAATTAACATTCCAAGGAATGCTTCCTGGAGCATTCCTTTTAGAGTGGCAGAGGACAGCACTTTTCAGGTACCTGAAACAGAAAACTTCAACACCTCCAAAGACACCTTCCTAAGAACTCAGCTTCCTTTCCCACCTCTTCTCATCCATCAGGACAATTAAAGGAACCGTACGTAATCACACCACCAATTCAGGGATACTGTCTAGACATTTTACACAGCATTAATTACATTATATGGAAAACAAAAAGATGACCAGCTAAATCTGAGTCATAATAATCTTATACAAAACAGTTACTACTCTCTTTTTAAGAATCCAAATCCAGGTTTCAAACAGCCTCACTTTCACATTCAGTATTAGTAGGAACATAAAAATCTGACTTTTTAAAGATGTTATCCCATGCCAAATGCTATTCTGAAGCATCTATCTGCTCAATAAAGGCCACTGTTCATGGACTCCTATTCCCGATCTGTCCTACAACTTGGTCTATCTCAGACCCATTTATGCCAAAATTCTATCTGAAACTTGAGCCAAGTTATTTCCTATATCCATGTGATCCTTGGCCTCCATGCCAAATCCAGGCCCCCTTGTTCCCCTATCATCATCATCTCTGTCACATCCCTATACTGTTGTTTCTTCTCCCCTGATCTCACTTCCCCTGTCTACTTTCCCCTGACTTGAGCATACTCCGTACTCTAGTTCCAGGAGAAGTCAAGTGTCTACCCTCTCCACACTTTTTCATAAATCAGGGTCGGCTTTCCTCTAGGGACACCATTTCCCACAGCCCTCTAAAGGGAAGGCTGCTTGCTGCTTCTCCCAAATGCCAGAGTCAAGGCATGAGGACCATACTTTCCCTCCATACTATTTTCATTCATTCATTTGCCAAATGTTCACTGGGGTGTCTCCTTAGTCTCAAGCTCTCTTTCAGGTGCTAGGGATAATGCAGTCGACAAAACACAATCTCTGCCCCTCCTGGACACTTATATTCTAGTAGGTAGTCAGATGTTACATATACAACACAAACTATGTTGCCACAAGTTGTCTGAAGAAAAAGCTGTTTGGGGAAGGTATAGCAAAGGGGGAAGGGAGGCTTGGATCCCTCTACCTGGCCCACGTAGCAGTATGTAGGCTCCTCTACTGAGGCTCTGGCTATTTTGCCCCGCACTGCGTGGTACCTGCGTCCTAGTTTTCTCCATTCCAAATTCCAACATCACTGCTATGGTCTGAATGTTTGTGTCCTCACCAACCCCATTCCTATGTTGGAAACCTAGCCCCGAAGGAGACGGTATTAGGAGACTGGGCCTTTGGGATTAGTGAATGAGATTAGTGTCCTTATAAAAGATGCCCTGGAAAGATTCCTTGTCCCTTCTGCCATGTGAAAACACAATGAGAAGCCTGATATTTTCACCAGAACCCAATCATGGCGGCGACAGGGTTTCAGACTTCTAGCTTCTAAACTGTGAAAAATAAATTTCTGTTGTTTATAAGCTACTCGGTCTGTTTTTTTTTTTTTTTTAAGATTTTATTTATTTGACAGAGCACAAGCAGGGGGAGTGGCAGGCAGAAGCAGCCTTCCTGGTGAACAGGGAGCCTGAGGTGGGCTTGATCCCAGAACCCTGGAATCGCAACCAAGCCGAAGGCAGAGGCTTCACTGACTGAGCCGCCCAGGCGCCCCCAGTCTGTGGTATTTTGTTATAGCGGCCTGAACGGACTATGACAATTTCTCAGAGCATCTTCAGTGTCCATACAGATGAGCTCATTTAATGCCTAACTT